GATTATGGGTATCCAAGTGTGACGACAGATTCGTGAACTAATCGTCACTCGAATGACGATACAAACGCAAATCGCTCGTCATACCTGAGGCTATAATAGTCTAATCTAAGCCGTTTTTTGTTTATATAAACAAAAAACGGCTAGTTTTATGGTTGGAGTGGAATAGAATTCCGGAAAGCATGTTAATTAATTTGGTGGAAACAAAAAGAGATAAAAATAATAGTAATTGAAAATATCCGCGTATGTAGATAATTAATAATATAAAATACGATTGAAAACGAAGCCACCAGAGATGAAGTTCTATTCAGTTGGTGAACAGCATATTCTGCTATCCTGGAGCTGAGAAAGTAACTGAATATAACATAGTGAATGCTTAAAATAGAAACAGATCGACCAACGCGCGTGACGATAACGATCATCTGACAAGTAAAACATACCCTCCACAAGCATTGTTTACCGACGATTTTTCACGCACGCGTCGACCGTTGCAACCGTTGCATATACATACTTGTCTTTTCCCAAGATCAACAAAGAAAAATCACAATGAAATTAACATCTGACAAGAAGACCAAGCGTCACAAACATCGACATTCGCCTTATGGCAGTGAATCAGCAGCAGTGTCTCTTACAAATGACAACTCAGTAGAAAATAAAAAGGGAATCGAGAATGAGGGCAAGGGGGTGCACAGGGATGCGTCGCATGAGAAGATTATAAAATTGAAGAAGCAGACAGAAGAGGGGATGAGCTCATCTAGCAAAGAAGGAGGAAAAGGGAAAACAAAAAAGAAGAGAAAGAATAAAGAGAAAAAGGAAGATAAGGAAAAGGAAGAAAAGGAAGAAAAAAAAGTGGAAGCGCAGGGAAAGAAAGAGAAGGGAAAGGAAGAAGGAAGGAAGAGGAAGAAGGAAGAGGATAAAGGGAAGGGAGAGGATAAAGGGAAGGAAGAGGATAAAGGGAAGGAAGGGGATAAAGGGAAGGAAGGGGATAAAGGGAAGGAAGAGGATAAAGGGAAGGGAGAGAGAAGGAAAAGGAAAAAGGAAGAAGAGAAAAAAAGGGAAGAAAAGAGAAAGAAGGAAGGAAAGAGAAAGGAGGAAGACAAGAGGAAGAAAGAAAAAGACAAGGAAGTGGAGGCAGGAGGGAGAGGAAAAAAGGAAGAGAGAGAGAAGGGGGAGAAAAGGAAGAGAGAAAAAGAAGAAAAGGGAGTGAAAGAAGGGAGTGAAAAGAAGGAATCAAAGGAAAAGAAAGTGAAAATGAAAAGGAAAAGTGAGGAAAAGAATACGGATCTGAATGAAGACATAAATGGGGAGAAGGAGAAAGGACAAGAACGTCATAGGAAGAAACCAAGAGTTGAATCGAATAAAACTGAAGATAACAGAGAAAAAAGGAAAGAGAGGGAACATAGGAAAGATAAAAGAGATAAGAGAAACAAAAAGTACGAAGACAAAGCAAGCAAACTCGACAAAAGCAGTAATAAATCTGCCGTCGTAGATGTGTCGGTTCCGGACAATAAGGGTGCAGTTGCTCCTAAGAATCAAACGCGTTCTTTATCAACAGTGATGTCACATTCTACAATCCTCACCTCACATTGGCTTGACGCTCAGGTCTTGAAAGAGTTAGGTAAGATGCTTAAGAAGGTTCTCTTTTTCTTTTTTCTTCGTGCAGTTGTTTTTTCTTTGCTCTATACAATCTACTTTATTCTAGTTCTTTTTGTATAGGTATCGAGTACAAGAAGGGAGCCTACACAAAGAAAGAAGATGCGCTTATTCTAAAAGCTATGAACGAATATAAGCAGGTAAATTAACTGAGAAACCCCTTTAACATACTTCAAACTAATCCGAATGACACCACTATTCTATTTTAGCTTCACCGATTAAGTGCCGATGAGCTACAGGGACTAATATACGGAAAAAACAAAAGAGAACACAAAGACTTTTGGAAATGCCTTGGTAATCTATTTCTTGCATACTATATATCTACAACATGTGATTCTTCACTATTTGTCCTTCTAACGTTGTAAATCACTCACGGCAGCCACTGCTCTTGGTAATAGGCCTCTCAGGTCAGTCGCACTGCATGTACAACGAATGAACCATCCATACAGGAAGATCACTGCCGATACTAATTGGACCCCTGAAGAAGACGAACAGCTGAAAAAGTATATTGTTTGATTGCCGTGCTAATTCGTTATCATCACTATTGCATGTGAGAAGGGCCTAACCAAGGAATTTTGATCAGACTAGTAATCCAGTATGGAAAAAAATGGTCCGAGATTGGACACCACTTAACGCGAACGGGCAGTCAATGTCGTGATAGATGGCAGGAATATATTAAATGCGTGGAATCTAAGAAATCAGGTACGAATTACTTGTAGTTTTGGACGAAACAAACATTTGAGATAGACGGCGAATGCTAATGCTGATCATGCAGGCCTTTGGTCGGAGGAAGAGGGCGATCGGTTGTTTACTATTATCTCGGAAATGATCCGTAATGGCCAGTCGCCTGAACGGGATATTCAATGGGAAGATGTTAGTAGTAAGATGGATCACACCAGGAGTGCGGATCAATGTCGGAAGAAATGGTAACAATTTGATTACTGCAGGACACATATGCATGAATTGTAGGTTGACTTTTACATAATACGCAGGTTTCGTAATTTATATTATCGCCTTAATCCCGGAGAAGAGAGAAAGTGGACAGCCTTCACCAGCTTTCATTTGTTGAAAAAGTACTTATCAGTATATTGTCATTTTGTGATTACATTAGTTCATTATCTATCTAACTCGTTTCCCTATAAATCAGACTCGACCAGTTGAAAGAAGTTCATGAAGATAAGGATGTTTTATGGGATAGTCTTCAGGACGACAGTATTACCTGGTATGTGGGTTATTCTTTCGCCTTGGTTCATTGGTTCGTGGATGTCTTGGTTGACCATTGTTCTTTCCGTAGGACTGGGGTAATAATCCGTGAACAATGGCATAGAATAAAGAGAACGGTCAAAGGTTGGCGAGACCTGACATTTCGCGGTATGTGAACTACGTTGTGCGCATTTGTACACCATTGCTTATTCCAAACGTCTCATTCGTTATGTTATATATAGAAATAAATACTAGAGCTCTAAAACATTATTCCAAATTGATCTCTGCTGACGAAGATGAACAGTCAAGAACGACTGGAGCGGAGTCTTCTGATTAGAATAAAGGGACCCTTAACACATGACATCTTTTAATAATAGAATCACCTATAATTTGTACTGCTAAGTTGTTGTTAATAAATTTCATATAATTGTACCTTTTCCCTTCTTCATATTTCAAATGACAATACATGAATGCTATAAATATGAAAGCAATAGATAGTTTATATCAATTGATCTAACGCGGAACGGAGACGAACATGTTCTCTGCCTCGAGTGCAGAACTTGGAGTTGGGATACGCAGCTCATCATCCTTCGTACGTAAATCACTAGGAGCAGTGCTCAATCTAAGTTTAGACTTCTCTGCGCGCCCTTTTAATAGATCTTCAATGTGCGAAGTTATAAGACCTATAGCTGGAATGTTATTAGCTCCTCTTGGGATTATAACATCTGCCGTTTTTTTCGTCTATACAGAATGGAAACATTATGTAAATATCTTATCGAGTAAATGGTGGGGTAGCGATTAATGAGGTCGAAAATTACCGGTAAGACAAAATCCTCATAAGCTGGTTTGACGTAATTAAGGTAATGATTTAGGACCTGGTCGAGAGAGAAATTATATCTTTGTTCTGTATCTTGGATGACTGAAGAAAGAAGAACATAGAATGTAAGCATTGCACATTCAGTAGTAAGTCTATTGTCTGTATGTGGTTTGCTTGCCTCGTTGAGCTAATCTTTGGTCGCTGTCAACATCCACAAATATCTTCATAGATAAGAAATCACGTATCCTCTGTTCATATAATATCAAGATACCCTCAAACAGGATTACGTCCGGCGGGTGCAGTTTTTTTGCAGAGAGATTTCTGCACACATAATTCAGGTTTGTTTGCATGAGTTTAGTTAGTTCAACAGCAATCTCATTGTCATATTAATACGAGCTCGCAATAAACATACCAATGAAGCCGACCTTGTGCGTGTTTTATAATCATAAGATGGAAGTACAGCTGGTTTCCCTACTTTCAGGTCGCTTAAAACTTGCTCTACTAGATCAAAATCAAAAGCCGCTTTTGATGAAGAAGCACAATGTCAATTATCATTGGATCATCGCTAAGAAGAAGAAGAAAAAAGAGGAATAAATAGCAGTGCCTGTTATATTTACATGGATGGTCAAAGTCGAATTCTGCCTTCTCGGCTAGCGATCTCTCTTCGTCAGTTAGTATACGATAAAAGTCTCCAAGACTAATAACAACAACATTGCGTAAGGTTTTAGCCTGTTTACGAAGTCGGTCCATGATCATATTACAGACGGTTTTCTGTTGATAAGATTGTATCGTTAGCGACAATTGTTGAATTGGTACTCAATGAACTGTTACCATCAATGTGGTTCCATTGAGAAACACCACCGTCAGTTTTGAGGTCAATCATTAACGAGTTTACCTTTCCACTAGCTGATCCGCCTACAAAGTAATAAAAGAATACGAGTTTATTGATATACAAGTCTTTACGATCATATACATAGATACATATGTTTGTGATATATACCAGCTACACCAATAATAAAAGGTGATTGTCTAATGGGAGTTGTTTTATCTGCCGAGGGAGAACTGTCTTGAGTCATTGCTGAATCGATATTATTGACTTCTTAGTACAAAGTTGATATAACTCTGTATTGCGTCACGTGTTTACACAATTGTTCTCAGCGTCGTTTTGATTGGGTAGCGCATCACCTTTCGAATACTATGTTTTCTGCTAAATTCCCAAGACAGACAGGACATTTGCTATTTCCGCGTGTGAGGACTAAGAGTGACGTATTCCTGCTGCTGTTTTGTGCAGACAGAACCGATATCCAGGCATTAATGTTATAGCAAAGCTTTAGACTTGTTCAAGGGAAAGAAATTTCCTACCCTCATCATATTCCTAACACTGGATCTGGTTTTCGTTATAAAAAACTTGTGTTTATATTATGGAATTGAATCACACTATTCATAATCTTAGCTTTCTAGTATAGCAGTTCATTAGAACCAACTTGTCTTAGACTGACTATAGGACATGGATTACAGAGCTGAATAAAGGAAGCATAAACGCAAAGGAATTTTAGTGTGTTAAAACAAGTTTTATATTTGTCGTTTATCGTTTATATTTTAAAATCGCACAAAGCTGTAAAATCGAATAGTTCGCGTTCACCCCATACACATGATTTTGAAGTTTCCTGCTATCCGGAAAATCTGAATGATACTTGATTCGATCTCTCAGTAAGAAATGTTTAATCACAGTTCCTGAGCAGCACAGGTATGGTTGAGCTTGTTTCAGTAAAAGTCCATTGATTAAATAATAAAAAAGGCTCTCCGTCCTCCTCAGACATTTGAGGAAAATTAGCAGGAGCAAAATACTTATTATCGGTAATAAATAAATATTAATATATAATCCATCTTAAATAACATTCAAAGAGCGTGCTGAGTAAAAATTCGAAATTATTTCCAATCGACGAATCGAAGTAGTATCACTCTTTTTAATAATTACATCGGTTGTGTTCTGGTATAGTTTCTCTCCTTGTTTGTAAGTTGAAAGGGTCGTGTTTTTTTAGAAAAGAATTCAGACAGGATTAAACTAAATTAAATTACGACAAGAGGAGTGACTCAAAACTAGCATTAAGATATTCTATTTTTATGGTATAACTTGGCAATCCAGAGTGTTAACATATATGCCAGCGATATAGAATATATACGTAGTCACCTTCAACAGCCTTATGGACACGTTAGCAAGGCCGTGTTTAGAGATATCCCTGGGTCACTAACTGAGAGCGTTTGTCTATTACATAGATGTGCTTGCGATTTTTCTCGAATATATCTACTGCACTCGTGCTGCAAAACGATTATAACAACAAATTCTATAATTGCTGAATTGAGGGATAATTTACTGTAATATTAATTAATACTCGGCTCGCATGTTTGACTAGTCTAGGCTCGATTTTTCATTCTTACTAATAAAAGGTTTATTACATAGAAGGGTATGAGTCTTTAATTTGTTAGATCGATTGGCGTTTTCTCAGCTATGGCAAAGCTCTGCTGTTATTCCCATACTAATACTATGTCGTTCACGCTAATAGATAATCCGATCATAACACTTGAATTAAAAGATTGTATTTGTTTCAGGGTGTATTCTTTCTTTCAACACTTTATGAACTAGTAATGATTTAATTAAATGTAATATGAAATTATAATGGAATAATAATTCGACGATGGAATTTTGGTCGTATTTATAAGAAGAATGATTTTCTGTTAACCAGTCACTGTTAGGATACGGAAAATATTCAAGGTTTGGTATCCTGATAGCGCGAGTATTAGTGTAAAGATAAATTTGGATTATTACCGTTAGGGTTAATATTAACACACCCACAAAAGATGATAGCCGACTATATGACGTATTCGTACGTAAAATAGTTGTGTGCATCTTGGATTCATCAGTTTTGGAGAAATTTAGGGGTAGCTAATGGAATCATAGTCTGTTAAGAATGGCCTTGAGAGAACTGCTGTGAGGATTTACAAGAACGTATTCTTCCAAAATTACAGATGGTGGGATGATGCAAACGAAACAAAGAATTTAAAGTAACATTCTTTCTTGACACTTGGTTAGAAATTGATTGACTCTGTTATCTATGATACTAGCATTGAACAAAAATTGAAAACCGCTGTTACTGCGAACAAAAACACGACGACAAAAATCTGAGAAATTACTAAAGCAATTTCTAAAGCTAAATTTCCACAAGAACACTTTACCATGCACTTCATAAAGAAAATGTACGTTCGTGTATTCCTTTAAAAAAAGCCGCTTATATTGGAAAAAAAATCGAAAAATTCGCCTCGAGTGGGCAATGGAAAGGAGGAATTGGACGTTGCAGACTGGAAGAAAGTCATATGGTCGGACGAATCTGTTGCGGTGGCACTGAAAAAACGCAATCAAATGTTCACAAATTTGAGAAGGCAGCAAAAGAAGAGTGTAATGCGCTTCCGCAAAAAGTATATCGTAATTGATATTACAGTATGTATGCCCAACCGTATTCAAGTTGTGATTGCTGCAAATGGAGGAAATACTAACTATTGACGTTCACTTTAAGTAAATAAAATTTCTTTTGGGTTTAATAAAAAAACT